TAAAGGAAAGAGAGCCTAACAAAAGAAAACTAATGCAACCATCACATCTAAAAATTGGTAAGCTGCAATATATTACATTTTTGGTTTTGGGTTTAATACCGCTTTAACCACTTGCCGACTGCAGATAGCTGAATGATGGCCGGCCAGTTCTGGGAGGGCGTCATATGACGTCCTCCCAGAACATGCCCTCCCGTGCGCCCCCCAGGGGCACGTACCCGGCGATCTCTATGATCACTGTGTCCTATGGACACAGCTGATCACGTGATGTGGTAAAAGGCCAGTCACAGCGGCCTTTTATCACTTGATTAGCCGTGTCCAATGAGACAGCAGATCACCGGTAAATTCAGTTGCCGGTTATCGGCTGCACTTTCCTCATGCTGTCACAGCATGAGGAAAGTACTGCTGATAACCGACAATTGTCAGAGAAGGGATCGGCACGAATCATCAGGGCACTGATGTTCAGTGCCCTGATGATCGGTGTCCAGCAGTGCCACCCAGCAGTGCCCTCCATCAGTGCCCGGCAGTGCCACCCACCTGTGCCCATCAGTGCCACCCACCTGTGCCCATCAGTGCCACCCAGCATGTCACTCAGCAGTGCAGCCAGTCAGTGCCGCCTATCAGTACCCATCATTTTTGCATATCAGTGCCGCCTCATCACTGCCAGCTCATCAGTGCCGCCTATCAGTGCCCATCAGTGCTGCCTATCCATGCCATCTCATCGATGCCCATCAGTGTAGCCTCATCAATGCACATCAGTGAAGGAGAAAAATTACCTGTTTGCAAAAGTTTATATTTTTCTGTTTATAGCACAAAAAATAAAACACTCAGCGGTGAGTAAATACCACCAAAAGAAAGCTCAATTTGTGTGAAAAAAATGCAAAAAATGTCATATGGGTACAGTGTTGTGCATGACCACGCAATTGTCATTCAAAGTGCGACAGCGCTGAAAGATGAAATTTGGCCTGGGCAGGAAGGGGGTATAAGTGCCTTGTAGGCTAGTGGCTAAAGGAGAAGTTTACCCGTAACAAATAAAGTGAATACATCTGGCAGAACACGGTAAAAACATATAAGCAAAAGAATATTTACTTCTCGTTGCAGGCTTTTCGGACCAACATTTTCTCACTTTTTTCATCCCCATCCACCATTTTAAGAAAGGGTAGAAGATTCTCTCTGCCCTTACGTTCTAGATTTCTAGCTCGCCCCTCACAATGACAAGCAAGAAGATCCCACCAGTGTGGACTCTAGAGGTCATCTAAGTAAGGAAAAAAATGTCTTTACTAGGAGATCACATGAGATTTAGCAAAGCCTCACAGGATCTTGCAGTGTAGTCATCATCAATGTAATTGTTAACATGGCATTCCGTATTTTATTTTGTTAGTTTGGGCACCATTTATGTTTTTTTCAGTCTTGACATGACTCCTGTGCCTACAGCCTCATAGCTGTATATCTGCATTGTGAGATCCAAGGCATTAATGCCTCTGACTGGTAATCTCAGGAGATTTGGTGATGTCACTACTGTTTTCTTTGCTGGAGGCTCTAACACAAGGAAGCAAAGCCCTGCCTCTACCAAGATGGCCACCTCCACACAGAGACACAGTGCAGAACAAGACATGGTAAGTCAGTAATGGGGAAAATATCAGCTACAGGGAGACCACAGGCAGTACTGGCCAATGGTCCTTTGCCCTTTTGCTAAAGCTGCCAGAGTTTAGTTTCTTTTTACCTTGGAGACATAGTCTGCTTTGAAAATAAAGTTTCCTGAAAATGGTTTTAGCCTTGCTGGGAAAGCCCCTACCAACACCCCTCAAAGCATACATATCATTTCCTTTTGTCTTCAGGCCGTCACATGACATCCTGAGTCCTTTCTGCTCTTTCTTGGCTGTGACAGTGTCCAGTCCTTCCTCCTGGAGAGGTGCTCAAGTAATGAATTGTGAGTGCTGCTTAGCCCAGGAGTACTGTATGTACCCATGTTAAGATGACACACCTCCAGGGGGTGGGAACATGACAGCCTGGGATCCCAGTAATCGTTTTCTATGATGATAGCTGTCATCCAACAAGGAAGAGACTGTAAGGAAAAAGAAGAAAGGGGACAACACAAGAGGGTGAGTAATGCTAGGCCACATTTTTTGCAGGAGGATGGGGCCTATAAAGACAAATAAAATAGGTTGCAGAATCTCTGTTTTAATATTATGCAGTGGCTTCAATACTTTCTGAGTCACTGGTATAGAAAAAAAAATGTCATACGTGTATTTATTTAATTCCCCTAGAGATCAGGGACTAGCACTTTTTCTAGGGGGGACAGCATTGATAGCCAATAGTGATGAGCCTGGGTTTGTCTGATCCTGCTCATTAGCTATCATCGCTGAGCCAATGAGCTGCGAGCTGGAGAATCCCCGCACTGCAGCTGCACATACAGTTGTGTTCAAAATAATAGCAGTCAGACATCACTAACCGATCAATCACTGTTTTTGGTAGAAATTATATTTCTACATGGCAAATAATTTACTAGCAGGTGTAGTAGAGTAATAGAAATCCAACAGACCCAACAGTCATGACATGCATGCTGCTGATTCTGTGTAATTGAATCACTAATTGAAAGGGGCATGTTCAAAATAATAGCAGTGTGGAGTTCTATTAGTGAGGTCATTCATTCTTTGAAAAACAGGTGGCAATTATTGCCCTTATTTAAGGAAGGAAGGCAGCAAATGTTGTACATGCTGGTTACAGTGCATTTCTCTCTGAAATTCTGAGGAAGAATGGGTCGTTCCAGACATTGTTCAGAAGAACAGCGTACCTTGATTATAAAGTTGATTGGAGAGGGGAAAACATATAAAGAAGTGCAGAAAATGATAGGCTGCTCAGCTAAAATGATCGCAAATGCTTTAAAATGGCAACCAAAACCTAAAAGATGTGGAAGAAAGCGAAAAACTAGCATTCGAATGGATAGAAGAATAGCCAAAATGGCAAGGACTCAGCCAACAATCAGCTCCAGGAAGATGAAAGAAGGTGTAAAGTTACCTGTGAGTACTGTTACAATTAGAAGACGCCTATGTGAAGCCAAGCTATCTGCAAGAAGCCCCCGCAAAGTCCCACTGTTGAAAAAAAGACGTGCTGAAGAGGTTACAATTTGCCAAAAGAGCACATTGACTGGCCTAAAGAGAAATGGCGCAACATTTTGTGGACTGATGAAAGTAAGATTGTTCTTTTTGGGTTTGTGGCCGGAGACAGTTTGTCAGACGACCCCCAAACACTGAATTCAGGCCACAGTACACTGTGAAGACAGTGAAGCATGGTGGTGCAAGCATCATGATATGGGGATGTTTCTCATACTACGGTGTTGGGCCTATTTATCGCATACCAGGGATCATGGATCAGTTTGAATACATCAGAATACTTGAAGAGGTCATGCTGCCTTATGCTGAAGAGGAAATGCCCTTGAAATGGGTGTTCCAACAAGACAACGACCCCAAACACACCAGTAAACGTGCAACATCTTGGTTCCAGACCAACAAGATTGACGTTATGGAGTGGCCAGCCCAATCCCCGGATCTTAATCCAATAGAAAACTTGTGGGGTGACATCAAAAATGCAGTTTCTGAGGCAAAACCAAGAAATAGAGAAGAACTGTGGAATGTAGTCCAATCATCCTGGGCTGGAATACCTGTTCACAGGTGACAGAAGTTGGTTGACTCCATGCAACACAGATGTATACAGCAGTTCTCAGAAACAGTGCTTACTACAACCAAATATTCATTAAGTGATTCAAAGGAAAGCAAAATCTTCAAACATTTTTCAGTTTATATAGTGAATGTTTTAGTTTGTAAAGAAGAATACAAACCCTGCTATTTTTTTTGAACAGTCTAATATTCACTTTTCTTAAATTTTTTTTAGAGGAACAACACAAATTTGATATATTTTTTTCTTCATGTTTTGATTTGGAATAGAATGTGTAGTGTTCCCAATGCATTTGTGTGTATGGAAATAAAAGCTATTAGAAGGATTTTGAGCTTTATTCACTTTATTCAACACACTGCTATTATTTTGAACACAACTGTATATAAAGGGGCGAGGATGTTCGTTACATCATTGGTCTAATATGGTCACACAGAGCAGGGGAATCTCCCACTCACAGCTCATTGGCTCAGCATTGACAGCTAATTTCCGGGTTCACACCAAAGCCAAGCTCATCACTAGTGAAAAGAAACCTGAAATACAGTGCTATATAATAAAACCAAGGCACTAATGCATAAATAAAGAAATTAATAAAGTGACAATAGTGGCAGATTCAAAGTGATATTAGTAAATAAATATAAAGGGACAATTGTGAACAGTCCAATATAAAATATGATCATTCAGGATAAAAAAAAACGTCCAAGTAATCTCCGTGATGGATCGGTGACAGTGACTTCGTGCTAGATAATGCTGTATGAATGCACTCATCAGAAGCGCATATTAAATGCGCATAATAATATATCCAGCTCTTCCACAGGTAGGGAAAACTTCCATCAGTATGATCATGGTATAGAGACAGGAAAAACACAACTGACTTCTAACAGCATTACAGGGAAGACTCCGACATCACCACTGGCCTCTAGCTGCATTATAGGGATGGCTCAAGGTACCTCTCCACCATGGACAGAGCCAACAGAAATAGCATAATCCACCTTAGGGAAAATAGCTCGCACAAACGAGCCACGACAGGAGCGCTTATAGTGTAGTAATTGATTGTTGCATATGGTAAAAAACATCCACGTGGATAACAGAGAAAGAAAAGCTGGCAGCAAACTCACAAAAATGGCCATTGGACCTCCGTGAGGACATGGCGGCGTGACGTCAGTACGGCAGGCTCCTCATCATCACTAGTGACCACCATTGTTCTCAAAGTACAGATATCTGTTAAAAAGTGAAGACATACAGTATGTAATGTATTTGTTTTTGTCTGGATTATTACTGGCTGGTAGTTTGCACAGCTAATAAAAAGCTTACTCATTTCTTTGGCCCAGGATCCCTTACAAGGTACGATGAGACCGTTGTATCTACTGACTGGCAAGAGAAACTGACTCCAGAGCAGTACTACGTGACTAGGGAGAAGGGGACCGAGCTGGTGAGTTGGCCAAAAAAAATGTACAGGCAGGTAACATTAAGCCTTGGCTCACACCTATGGGTTTTTTCATTTTTCAGAAACACACTACAGTCCATTTAACATGGTTTCCTATGGATCTATTTCACATCTGTGCATTTTGAAATAGTGGAAAGGGTCAGGGACTTTTTTCTTGCAGTAGATTGCATTTTGCGTGTAATAGACTTCAATGGACCTGCACCAAAAATGTGAGTGTTGCGTTTTCTATGCATTTTGTAGGGTTTTTTTCTGGCTAATAGGAAGGTATGACAGTTCTGTTCATGTAGTGCAGCTTTAATGTGACTTTACACTCAAGAAGACTCAAAGTCGCATCAAAGTAACACAGAAACATTTATGTGTCCAAAGTTGCATGGTTAGGTGAAATGTTAGGGTGAGGATTAGGGATAGAGTCAGGCTTAGAGGTAATTGTTAGAGTTAGAACCCTAATGTTTACTGCTAAACCTAATCCTAGCCCTTAGCCCTAACTCTAACATTTATTCTATCCATAGCCCTTAAGCCTAACATGAGACTATGAAACACAAAAATGTTCCTGCACAACTTTGCTGTGACTTTGATGCTACCTGAATGCCAGAGAGGTTAAAGCGGAGCTCAACCCAAAAGGTGAAGTTCCGCTTTAAGGACTGCTCCCCCGCTCCCCATTAAGGATTGGCACCTTTGGGGGGCGGGTACTCGAATTTGACAGGTACCCGCTCCCACTTCCGGTCCGATCGCCTAGGCGATCAGAAGCGGAAGGTGCCCTCCCTCCCTGTTGTCTTTTGGGAGACGTGACAAGTCCCAGAAGACTACAGGACCATTCATGAAGTGCAGCTCTACTCGCACATGCGCAGTGGGTACCTGGCTATAAGCCGCAAGCTGTCACAGCCAGGTGCCCACACTGAAGATGCCGGCCTCCTGGAATACAGGACAGCCGGTGAAACGGGCTGCGGGGGACCAAGGGACAGGTAAGTGGCTGTTTTTTAAAAGTCAGCAGCTACAGTTTTTGTAGCTGCTGGCTTTTATTTTTTGACAGGGTGAGTGGAATTCCGCTTTAAAGTCACATCAGAGTCACATTGCATGAACAGAACTGTCACACTTTCCTATTAGCCAGAAATATGACTGTGGACACATAAAGGTTCCTGCACTACTTTAATGCAACTTTGATGCTACTTCAGTGACAGAGTATGTAAAGTCGCATCAAAGTGGCATTACATGAACAGAACTGTCATACCTGCTCTCATCTGTGAAAAGCACAGGGCGCCAGTGGTGGACCTGCCAATTCTGGTGTTCAATGGCAAATGCCAATTGAGCTCTATGGTGCCGGGCAGTGAGCACAGGGCCCATTAGAGGATGTCGGGCCCTCAGGACACCCTCATGAAGTCTGTTTCTGATTGTTTGGTCAGAGATATTCACACCAGTGGCCTGCTGGAGGTCATTTTGTAGGGCTCTGGCAGTTCTCATCCTGTTCCTCCTTGCACAAAGGAGCAGATAACGGTCCTGCTGATGGGTTAAGGACCTTCTACAGCCCTGTCCAGCTCTCCTAGAATAACTGCCTGTCTCCTGGAATCTCCTCCATGCTCTTGAGACTGTCGTGGGAGACATAGCAAACCTTCTGGTAATGGCATACTCTGATTTAAAAAGTGTTCCTTTTTTTTCTTCTCTCTCTCTCTCTCTCTCTCTCTCTCTCTCTCTCTCTCTCTCTCTCTCTCTCTCTCTCTCTCTCTCTCTCTCTATATATATATATATATATATATATATATATATATATATATATATATAATATCATAAGTCGTTCTGTGTAAAATTAATTTTTTTAACATTTTTGTCCAACTTTATATAATAAAAAGCAAAAGGAGGAAATTAAAAAAAAAAAAAAATATATATATATATATATATATATATATTATATACAGTGTGTGTGTGTGTATATGTATATATATATATATATATATATATATATCGTGAAAAACCAATGCAAAAATGATTCGAGTTGTAATCAAGTTAACTGATGCATAGTGATATAGCGGAACCTGATCTGGGCACTCCGTGACATGTGGTCAGGAAAGGGTTAAAGCTGAACTCCAGGCAGATATAAAAGACACAAATTAATGCAGCTTTGTAATCATTAATGTGTTAAATACCTTAATTTGACCTAGTATCAGCCTCTGTATACAGCAGAGTTTAGACTTGGGCAGGGAGAAGCAGTGGAAGGAGGTGGTCAGCTGTGTTGCAGTAACAGAATCTTGCTGATAGGTGGAGAGAGCAGAGCGATGAGTTAATCAGTTGATCAATCCACTGCTTCTCCTTTCACTGTCCAGTGCCAGGCTGGGGGGAGGAACAAGACCTATAAGTGAAACTGCATTGCATGTAAGAAAAATCAAGTCTCCTTCCCTGCCAGATAGAGCTGTTCTGTGTGGCAGAGCTGTGTAAATCACAGAACTGGATGGACAGAAATCCAAAGCCTTTGGCAGGTGAAAAAGCTCCCTTATATGTATTCCAAGTCTGTATTTAGCTATATGCCTGGAGTTCAGCTAGAAATATTCATTGTGTATTGTTGTAGAAATTTGAAAGCTGACGCACTTTGCTCAGTATGACAGCGGTGTATATTTGTGTTTAGCCTTTCAGCGGCATCTACCTGAACAGTACAGAAGATGGCATGTATCACTGCGTGTGCTGCAGCTCTCCACTCTTCAGGTAAAACACTTCATTTCTTAGAGTCCCCCATTATTTGGAAAATTAAAACAAAATGGAGAAAAATGACATCCCTGATATACCAAACATCCTGAAAATGGAAATGAGTGTGTCACTCCATAGACACACACAGCGGGACTTCGGCCCACCCCCTGCTTCCTCCGCACTGCATTTTATTGACAGCAGCAGGAGCCAATGGCTTCTACTGCTGCCTGAGTCCCTGTGTGAAGGGATGCAGCTGTGCACAGCACTGGATCTGTTCTCCCCTCACTTCCCCTTCACACAGGGAAGGAGGACAGCAAGCTATAAACAAATTTTTTTTACCTTAATGCATAGAATACATGAAGGTAAAAACGTTTTGGCTTTAGAATCACTTTAACAGTGTAGTATGGTGCAGCTTGGAGAAGTGAGTTGGGAGTCCTTTGCCATCTTAGTCTATGGGGCTGTGTGTTTCTATTGATGTACACAGTGTAGGAAGACACAACACTACTCCCTGCATACAAAGGTGGCTCCATAGGATGCTGCAAGAGAAATGATCCACCCTAAAACAAGGAACTAGGGCAGGGGTCATGACATCAGCTTAAACTGGAAAATAAGCAAGGATTAAAAGAGAAAGAAGCTGAATACTCAGTAAGTGATGATGAATCAGCTTCTGTTAGCACAGACAGGGACAGTTTAGAATTGATAATGAGATCTGCCAGCACAGTACAGACAGGATTAATTATGGTAAACACAACTCTCCAGCCCCCTCCTTAGCATTGCTTAGAAGGGAAAATCCAGATAAGATTTTTAAGCAAGGTTAAAAGGTAGGCAGAAATTGTATTTTTTTTATGTGAATGGTACTATGTAACAAATGAAAAGTAAGTGCTATCCCAATATGGCTGTAAAAGTAGAAATTCACTTTAACGTGTATCTAAACCCAGGAACAGAGATATTATATATTGAAACATATCAGCCCTAAGATGTGGTGGCTGCATTAGTTTTCTATTTTCAGGCTTTTTTCCTTTATTTCCACTTGGGGATCCTGCCAGTAATACACTTCCTGTACCAGGGTGACAACACTTATTCACTGTACTGTATCCATGGAGGAACAGCATTGTCACCCTTAATCTGGGAGTGTTTTAGGACTACAGAACACCTTCTGCTCCCCTCTTCTCCATAACAAAGACCTCAGATTTAACTGGGACAATGCAAATGATAACAGTGAAGCATGCATCGGCATAACTAAAGTCTAAGATGTATATCTAAAAGATTATTTTAAAGGGCCATAGATACTCTTCAAAGGTTTTCATTACTTCAGATGTCAAAGTAATAGCTGCCAATATTTCTGTTTTGCTCTCTAAATTTCAGTTCAGATAAGAAGTATAATTCTGGAACTGGCTGGCCCTCCTTTTCTGAAGCATACGGAACCGTTGGGGATGATGAAAGCAATACCAATGTACTAAGACGGCCTGATAATTCTTTGGGGAGCATGGGGACTGAAGTTATTTGCAAAGAGGTGACGTGCGTTGGCGAGCAATTTTAAAAGGGTTTAGTCTGTCACTAAGGGCTCATTCACATCGGTGCATTGCTTTTACACATGACCACTGAAAACATGCTTTACAAATTTCATATGAATGAAACACACCAAAGATGCTGTATGGCACACATTTCTTAATGCAGGGCCCTGCTGTAGTGCATTGTATCTCCTCTTTCTCTCCTCTCCTCTCTCCTCTTTCTCTCCTTTCCTCTTTCTCTCCTCTTTCTCTCCTCTCTACTCTTTCTCTCCCCTCTCCTCTTTCTCTCCTCTCTCTACTCTTTCTCTCCCCTCCTCTCTTTCTCTCCTCTCTCTGCTCTTTTTCTCCTCTCTCCTCTCTCCTCTTTTCTCTCCCTCTCCTCCTTTTTCTCTCCCTCTCCTCCTTTTTCTCTCCCTCTCCTCCTCTTTCTCTCCCTCTCCTTCTCTTTCTCTCCTCTCCTCCTCTTTCTCTCCCTCTCCTCCTCTTTCCCTCCTCTTTCCTCCTCTTTTTCTCTCCCTCTCCTCCTCCTCTTTCTCTCCCTCTCCTCCTCCTCTTTCTCTCCCTCTCCTCCTCCTCTTTCTCTTCCTCTCCTCCTCCTCTTTCTCTCCCTCTCCCTCCTCTTTCTCTACTCTCCTCCTCCTCTTTCTCTACTCTCCTCCTCTTTCTCTCCCTCACCTCCTCCTCTTTCTCTCCTCTCCTCCTCTTTCCCTCCTCTTTTCCTCCTCTTTTTCTCTCCCTCTCTTATTCCTCTTTCTCTCCCTCTCCTCCTCCTCTTTCTCTCCCTCTCCTCCTCCTCTTTCTCTCCCTCTCCTCCTCCTCTTTCTCTCCCTCTCCTCCTCTTTCTCTCCCTCTTCTCCTCCTCTTTCTCTCCCTCTTCTCCTCCTCTTTCTCTCCCTCTCCTCCTCCTCTTTCTCTCCCTCTCCTCCTCCTCCTCTTCTCTCCCTCTTCTCCTCCTCTTTCTCTCCCTCTCCTCCTCCTCTTTCTCTCCTTTCCTCCTCTTTCCCTCCTCTTCTTTCTCTCCCTCTCCTCCTCCTCTTTCTCTCCCTGTCCTCTCCTTTTTCTGTCCTCTCCTCTCCTTTTTCTCTCCTCTTTTCCCACTTTCCTAAGCTGGGCGTTAATTGCTTTTCCTTTTCCTTTCCTTCCCTTCTTGTGATTTGCATACATCTGCCACACACAGCCAAGGCAACTCCACTATTTTTTTACTTCACCTTCACAGCTTCCAGTCTTACCTGCCCTCTCATTGGACAGTAGAGTGAAGATGCTGATTCATCGTCCAGGGAGGAGTAAATAGGGCTATCACCTGCCTGCCTGTGCAGCTGCTAGAATTATTCTTGTTAGCTCTGTATGAAAAGAACACATGTCTGTATTACATTATTTATTTAGTTATTTATTTATTTCTCCTTTTCCTTCTGCAGTGTGATGCCCACCTTGGTCACGTGTTCGACGATGGCCCTGCCCCCACGGGCCAGAGATTCTGCATTAACAGTATTGCACTGTCTTTTAAGCCAAGCTAGATGAATGGCAGCTCAGCTGAGATAATTATTTTTCGAAATTTATTTTGTGTATCTGTACCATTTCAGTCTTCATTACTGGTTTACTGGACTATCTGACCTTGAATTTTGTACATAAGCATTTTGGTTTCAATGTTTTGCCCAATGTTTTTGGGTTGGTTCAACAAACAGTGAAAAGTGTAATAAACCAATGTAACAAATCAAAATTCATTTTAGAGCAGTCAGATAAGTACAAAATGGATTCTGATTGGTTGTTGTCAGGTTTGCACTTACCACTCGGCTACTTACATTTTTGTTGAATAGGCTCAGCTGTGTTTCATGTGTAAAATGATCATTTTTATCATAGGAAAACAAAAAATGGCTATAATTCTGGGGGTAGGTTGTGTGTGAACGATAATATACAGTACATCCCTTTGTTAAGGGTCCCCATACATGCTACAATCTGACAAGGTTTGTTAATACCTATTGCCAATGTATCAAAATGTATGTTACATGAGTTTTGATGTGTTGCCATTGACTTCTATGGGCCTCTAATGCACTAAAACGCAGAGAAAAATCATACAGATCATATTTTTCCAAGACCCACTGCAGCACTGAGATGGGAACAGACACCATTTTTATTATGGGGAAGTTGGACACCTGCGTATTGGCATATTGCAACATGTGCATTAAAATGTAACATTGTATATGGGCCTTCAAACAAGCCCTTTCTGACCTTTTTAGTTGCAGACACTGTGGATAAATTCATCCTCAGTGTTCATAGAAGAAGCACAGAAATCAGTTTTTGGTCTGCTTCTTAGCACCTTTTTAGCTTTTTCTGCCCCCTATCCCAGCAGTGTTGTAGCAGCCATAGCCTGGCCACAGGTGTACTTTAATAGGCAAAAATGGCATTTCCTCTATGCCAACCAGAAAAGGGGCATATCAGCATATGTGTCAGCAATGGAGCCCGATTACTGATGGTAAGGCCTATTTAATTCTTTGGAGGGATTAAAAAGGGATTGTAAAAGATATCTTCTGTATATGGCCAACCAAGCCTGAGGGCCCTGGGTTCCACAGACCAATGTGGGGGTAAAAAAAAAAAAAAATTATATATATATATATATATATATATATATATATATATATATATGCACCCATATTGCAAAAATCAGCAATTCATATGTTGTTTACATTGGAGCTTGCAAAGTATTGAATCCATAAATCACAGGTGCAATGTTCTGGATCCTGCAGACTTTTCCTCCAGCTCAGGTCCGTACTGAGATATAGATCTTCAGCTGGAGGAAGTATCAACGGACTACACGTGCTGTGACGCCACCACGCCTGTGCTCCATTGAGAACTGCAGTCCCTCTACCACAGTGGCAGGTGAGATGTAGATAAAAGTAGTTTCTTCTTTCAATTGACGGGAGTTGGAAGAAGATGCCTAGATTTTGTAAGTGAGGGGGGAGGTGGGGGTGCTGTGGACTCAGACAGCATTTCATGTTACCCCCTTAATATAGGTGTAACATGGAACATGGTCAGAAAGTTGGACTTCGCTTTTAGATAAGAACTTTGGTTTAATCAAAAACTTTTCCTTAATAGTATACAGTATAACTGTTTGTTCTTTTTTTTTTTTGAGAGCTTCTAAAATACAACCTAAGTGATCTCTTAAACCAGAAAGCCAAAATAATTTGCTGTCCATGGAAGTCATGCTGTGCCTATGTTCCCACCACCACCACCACCACCATTGACAGCTATGAAATACTGAGGAGGAGGCATGGGCATGCACAGCTCCCAAGGAGTTTAATTCTTCCCCATGCTTTGACTGTAAGAGCCATGATGATAACTTGGGAATTGTATTATGAGGCCAGTTTACATCTCAATGGTGTTAAGTAACGTTCTCCTGTCATGCAGTATAGGGGGCCAAGTAATTGGACATGGGCCATTTTTCTGGAGGGGCTGTCAGTCTAATTAATGCTATCACTGACAGGTGCTGCAAAATATCAAAACGTGTCTTCTACTGGATGCTGCTATAGAAAGACTTTTTTTTTTTTATTATCTGTTAAATGTTTTCTGTGTTTTCCTAAATAAAAGCTGTATGATGGCAGAGCCTGAATGTCTTCCAGTACTTCTGAAGCTGTTATATGGACATCACAAAACAAAGCGTGTGTAAGGTTCACCACATGCTTTGCAGTCTGAATGTACAATCTTCTTCAGATCTTCATTGGATGGTCAAGGTAGGGAAACATATTAAGTATTTTTGGTAGATCTTAAAGCGGAGTTCCACCCAAAAGTGGAAGCTTCACTTGTTTGTCCCCTCCTCCTCCCACCACTGCCATATTTGGCACTTTTTTGGGTGGACGGGGGAGCAGATACTTGGTTTTGACAGATACCTGCTCCCACTTCCGGCTCACTTCGACAGAAGTTCAGCCCCCCCTCCTTCCTTCCGCAGTCTTCTGGGGCACTTCGCAGGCCCCAAAAGACTGCTGGACCAATCAGTATGTGTATCGTGACTTACGCATGCGCAGTGAGCACCCGGCTGTGAGCTGGGTAGCCTGGTGCCCACAGCTGAGATGCTGACGCCGGGGTGGAGAAGAGGAAGAGAAGGGACGGCGCAGGTGAGTACATCACTGGACCCCGGGACAGGTAAGTGTGTGTTTTATTAAAATTCAGCAGCTACAGTTTTTGTAGCTGCTGACTTTTAATAAACACAAAATTAACTGGAACTGCGCTTTAAGTTGATTATACAAAGATTGTATGATCAGATTGGAAGGTGTATGATGAGCTGAACTCTGACTGCTCCTCCGTTTTGCAGGTTGATCCCCACAGTAGTCAGTTGGCAAATATGGGCAGCACAGTGGCTAATTGGTTAGCACTTCCACCTGGCAGTACTAGGGTCGTTGGTTCAAATCCCAGCCACGGCACCTCCTGCCTGGAGTTTGCATGTTCTCCCTGTGCCTGCGTGGGTTTCCTCTGGGTACTCCGGTTTCCTCCCACACTCCAAAGACATGCTGGTAGGTTAATTGGATCCTCTCTAACTTGGCCCTTGTATATGTATGTGAGTTAGGGACCTTAGATTGTACACCCCTTGAGGGTTAGGGACTGATGTGAATGTACAACATATATGTAAAGTGCTGCATAAATTGACAGCAATATATAAGTACCTGAAATAAATAAAAATAAATGTAAACCGTAATTAGATGGCATTTAGTTTGTTAAATCACTGTGCATCATATACAAATGTCATTTTTTAAAATAAAATATTGTTTGTTTTCCTTTTTTTTCTCTTTTTTCTCATCCTTGTTGCATGCTGCTAATCTTCTGCAACAACATTGCACCCATTTCCTATCTAAATGTACTCCACTGATAGCTAGTAGTCATTAATCAGGGTGGGTTTCCTGATGGTGACAGAAACAGATTAAACCTGCTCAATGCCTGAGTTTCAGGATGACAATGCAGGAGCTCAATTGGGTGATCACAACTATAACAGGAAGTTCATGAACAATCAACCTTTATGGCAGGATTCCCAGGTATTATTTTAATGAAAGCTGACCATTTACAAATATTGAAAATTACTTTTGAAGTGATAATTAGGTTTCATGCACAGAGCTACAAGAGGGTTGAATAGGTACATTCAGGTGTAGAGGCACAGCTTGAAGCTTGTAGGTCCCAATGCAAGAGTTGACCTGGCCCCGCCCCCCCACTACCACTTGACACTTCCACAGCACACCAAGATGCTCCAAGTGGCTAAAGACTTGTTTCAGATCTTTATTTAGGTATTGAGACAGTAATTCAAAAGATTTTGGAGAAACTGTCCACATTCTGACATACCTATCCAATTCTTTTGAATACCCTGGAACAGGGGTAAGAAATCTTAGAGAGGTGGAGATCTACCTGAACAACATGAAAGAGATCAAAGATCACCGGAGTTTTTCGTTTTTTTTTATTCACTAGAAAGGCCTAACTAAATAGTAATGAAAACCTAGAAAGATATAAAACAAATTTCAGTGTAAAAATATAAACTTAGCCAACCAGATAAATGGACAGTGTCAGTCAGTAAAGCAGGGGACGGTGTCAGTAGGGCATTGGACAGAGTCAGTCAGTAAAGCAGGGGACGGTGTCAGTAGGGCATTGGACAGTGTCAGTCAGTAAAGCAGGGGATGGTGTCAGAAGGGCATTGGACAGTGTCAGTCAGTAAAGCAGGGGATGGTGTCAATAGGGCATTGGACAGTGTAAGTCAGTAAAGTGGGGGACAGTGTCAATAGGGCATTGGACAGTGTCAGTCAGTAAAGCAGGGGACGGTATCAGTAGGGCATTGGACAGTGTCAGTCAGTAAAGCAGGGGACGGTGTCAATAGGGCATTGGACAGTGTCAGTCAGTAAAGCGGGGGACGGTGTCAATAGGGCATTGGACAGTGTCAGTCAATAAAGCAGGGGACGGTATCAGTAGGGCATTGGACAGTGTCAGTCAGTAAAGCAGGGGACGGTATCAGTAGGGCATTGGACAGTGTCAGTCAGTAAAGCAGGGGACGGTCTCAGTAGGGCATTGGACAGTGTCAGTAGGGCAGAGGTTTGTGTCAGTAGGGCATTGGACATTGTCAGTCATTAGAGCAGTGGACTTTGTCAGTAGGGCAGAGGATGGGGTTAGGGGAACATTGATTGGTGCTAGTAGTTTTTTTATTTTTGTTGTTTGATTTATTTATTTTATCATTTATTACATATTTATTTAAAAACATTTTTTTACATCCTCCTTTTTTTTTAGCAGTCCTGTTGGGGGGCTTTGATGAAATATCAGGGGTTTAAGCAGATCCATGATGTCCCACTGAGAAAGGGAATGAGGACCGAGATTCCAAGGTCCTTTCTCTGCAGCCTCAGCTGCACTGGAGAGTGAATGAATGGGAAGTGCTATGTGCTGAGCAGCTTCCTGTTCATTCACAAACTGAAGCATAGTAAACGCAGTTCATTATGCTTCAGTTGTGAATGAACAGAGCAAATGATTGGTACCAATCACTTGCTCTGTTCATTCA